GTACCGGTCAATATTAATTATAATAATATATATATATATATATATATATATATATAATAATTAATATATATAATATATATAATATAATATATAATAATAATAATATATATAATAATAATTTATAGAGACTCTCATAACGATTGAGTGAATAAACATAAATCAAGCATATATGTGTATGTGATAATTAAAATGTCGGAAAATCTAAATAAATTTAATCTTGATGTTTTTATAAAGCAACATATGTCTGTGATTTTTAAATTAAATTAAATTAAATTAAATTAAATTAAATTAAATTAAATTTCTATTAAGAAGACCTATTAAAAATTAAAATATTTCCCGCGAGTGTTTTCCATATTGTAAAATAGCCTTGATGTCTTACATGTTCTTAGTATTTGCAGAGAAAATTTCTCTCATGCAAATAAATAAATAAATAAATAAATGAAATGAAACCGTTTAGAATATAGACAGTATAGAGCCACATTTCTGAATCACTGTGCACAGGTGGAGGAACGGTGCTAATAAAGCACGCGAAACATAAATTTCTTGCAAACGGAGCGTATCAAAAACTCGACAGAAAAATGAGAACTGCAGCGAGAGAGAGAGAGAGCTTGACAACCCAAGGAGAAGAACAGCTGTCGAGCGCGTATGACGAAACGGTCAGTTTTTGCGGCTAAATATGGCGTACCCGAGTGTTGCCATTTCGTCGCAACACCTTCGAAGACTTCGAAGAAACTGTAATTGTAAGCGGAGGCCGGTTCCGAGGCGTTTCTAGTCGACGAACACAGCGTGTCGAAGCAGAGAGCCAAGGACTCGAACAATTCAAATCGTACAGCCCGGCTGTATGAAAATTGTTCGATCTCGTTCGTAACACGCGAGTTCTCTTTTCCATCTGTTCGCCAAGAGACAATATCTGCGAGAAAAGTGTGCTGTCCGATCTATTTGCGAGCGTGACACGCGGAAGGCTATCGTCGAGGTCATCTGTCTGCCAGCAGGCGACAAAAAGTCAAGAAAACGCGGCTTAATAACCGTTGCGACAACAGGAATGCGTTGACAGCGGTTCGCTATCGTTCCACCGCGTTCCCGAGAAAGCCGGGACACGTTCGCGTCCACCATTTTCTCGAGGCGTGTTGGCGAATCGAGCGAATAAAGATCGTCGTTTCTTTTTTTTCTTTTTTTTTTTTCTGGACGGTTCCTTTTTTAGATCGGAAATTAGACAACGGTACGCGGTGGCTTCGTTATCGCGGCGAGCCACTTCCTTGATTAAAAAGCTGCCCGTTAGATCGCCTCGGCGAAGTTCAGGCACGAGGGGACCCCGTGACCTTCGCGTGACTGGGAATTTAACAATTTTATTTCATCACGGCGATTAATTAACGCCCGGCGCGCTCGGTTACGTGCCGCGTTCGCGCCGGCAATCTCGCTTGGAAAAGCCGGGGCCTCGCGGACCGTTTAGCGCCGACGGTTTTTTGGTTCACACCTGTTCGACGTTTTTGCATAGACGTTCACGTAATCCGGCTGACCGAACGGCGATTTCGTTGAATTCGTATCAGCTGAACGTAACTGGACACACAGTGGTCCACAAAAGTGTTCGTGCAACTTTTAAAATATATGCAACAACTATTTTAAAACTGAACTAAATAACTTGAACTCTTTTTTTTTAGATGATAAAGGGACTACTAGACGATGACTGAAATGCTTTGTTTTTAATTTTGCTATTACTTGGAATGTCGAAAAAGAAAAAAATATAAAAGTCTCTTGTTTTTTTAACTTTTTTTTAACTGGGCCTATAACGAAAATTTGAAAAATGTCTGTCGCAGATCTCGGTAACTTATATGCATGTTGAACATTTTATCGAAATCGGTTCACGTTGGTATGAGTTACAACAAATTAAAGACCGCAAAAATCGCAGCTTTGTCACTATTTCGAGCAAAATTTGGAAAATGTAAGAGATCTGCAAACATATATCTTAAACATATCTTTTTTTATCTTGTTTTTAAACATATCTAGTTTACGTAAATATACCTTTTTCTCTTAACAGTTTTAATAAGTCGAAAGTAACGTAATCATATACGTTACTCCTTTCGATGTTCTTTCATTTCGAAAGAACTCACATTTTTCAATGCACAAAATTCGCTCTCTAATCATCGGTACACCGAACATGCATATCGAAGATATAAAACGAACCCCGAATCGATCAATTACAATTACAAGTTCGGATCGCCGTTCGGGCCCTATAAATGCTGGCAATAATTTATCGAGACAGCCATATGCACCGGGAACGGAAATGAATTTTGGAAAGTCGGCGGGGAATTGTGTCATCCAAATATGGTAGACGCGGCAGGGCAGGCCACGTGTCGATTATTCGCCTGCGGATTCGACGCGCTTCGAGAACAGGTTTCATGCACTTGCCTAATTCCTTGCAGAGATTGATGACGGCGTTGAACGTCTTCACGGAGAAGTCGACCTTGCAGTCGAGGCAACGCATGTCCGGCAGCTGCACTCTGAGCGTTTTGCGCATCGGCGTGAAGTGCAAACGTGCATCCGCTGCGACGCCATACTGATCGAGGGTGCTCCTCGTCCTTGTTAACCAGTGGTTCCTCTCGGGCCACCATAAAGCGTGGTCAGACCAGTTCATCGCGATTCCTGCAATCAGAAAGATCGAGCGTTGGTTAGCGCACTCTGGTTGGTTTCATCCTTCTATTACACATATAAATATCTCCGATTCTACCAGCAAGTATATTTATGCTATTATAAAAATATCATTGCTAAATTAACTGTAACAAATATGCTTTTTCTCGAGATTATCGAACGCACCGATTTCGAAATAAATGCAGTAATCTTCGCGTTTATAAACTGAAATTACGTGTTGGAATTCTGATTTCTATGCGACATAAAAATTGTTTACATTAATTGCATAATGCAGAAATGTGTATAGATATTTATTTCATGTCTGAATCATTTTGGAGAGTTGACGGTAGAACAATAATATTTTCATACTGTTTAAATATTTTTGCTATTTTACTGTTGATTTTACTCCTTTTTTCTGGTAAATGCATCAAATTCACAATCCAATTATTGGACTATGAATTGTATATATTTATAACAAATGGTTCACGTGATTTTTTTGTTAAGAAAGATTCATTAATTTTTGTCAGAACAAATTCATATCATTTTTGTCAGAATAAATCCATTCATTTCTGTCAAAATAAGTTCCTCGAAGCTCCATTCTGTCAATCGTTTGTGCACTTATGCGTTGCAATTTCTAGTCTAATTATTACACTATGAATTTTATGCAGTTGTGCACGAATAATTGGTACTGTAAGAGTCTTAAAGGGTTCGGTTAACAGTGTCTGGTCTAAAAATGGGGGTTTTAGGAATTTATTCCGATAAAAATGTACGGACCGCCTCCTGACAAGAATTAATGGATCTTTTTTGACAAAAATTAATGCGCTCGCACCGACGGCATGGTCGCGCCAAGTGTCAATGGGTCCACCGGCAACCAATCGGCGATGGTCAGCGGCGTTATCTCGGCCGTCGATCAGCGGTAATTCGACACGGAGATGGACACGGTCGATTGGTTGATGGCCGTAGGGGGTCGATTATTTAATGCTTCTTAAAGCGAGTCAGGCCAACGTCAATTTATCAATGAAGATCCAACGCGACCGTTTATAGACGCCGTAGACGCGCGTGTTTATTGGCCTCATCGGTCGGCCCCCTTTGATCGTTTCGCGACTCGTCGACGATCCCGGAAACAGAAAACACCCCCAATTTGTCGGTGACATTGGGGAGGGACAGACCTCGAGGGGAGGGGGGGAGAGAGAGAGAAAGGAGGCATCATTGTCCGGATGCATGGGGCATCGATGTTCCGGGAGAGACGACGATAACGGACCACCATAAATTGATCTATTAAACCAACAATGCAGGCCCATTGTACGTGGTACCATGCAACGCTGGGGGAGTCGCTTGAACGCTGGAAAAATATTTTTCAATGTGACAGTGCTAAAACCTGCCCACCGGAATAATAACGCAAATAAAAGGAATATCGTGTTCCGGTAAAGTGAGTCATTTGTAACGCAAACTTCATTTTATGTTTCAGGAAAACCACTTCCTCCGAAGTGGAAGCGGATTCGTGGACGTGTATTATTTTTAGACTTAGACAGCGTATCGCTTCCGGAGTTATTTCACTAATCTCGAGACAAAGGTTTAATTTCTTGATAAATACACGTATAAAGCACATAGCGAACAAATTATTTGCTCGGGCAATATTTTTGTCACGAACTCGAAAAGTACAAAAGTTCAATTTTAACACTTAGCATTTCGAAAGCATCAATTAGCTGTTCGGCTCTTGATGGTTAATTTCCATTGCAAGTTATTCGCAGATAAAGTGCCGTTGAAAATTTGTTCTAAAAAATTGATGGACAACTGCGCGATTAACACTACACGGTACGATCATCGAAATCATCCACCTCCTGACTCTTTTAACTGTTCGCCGAAAGTCGCGATCATTTTCTTTCAAATAATAATTTCAAACGAACTTGTTGCACTATATGAATTTTATGGATTTATAATTAATAATTATATATATTTAATAATAATAATAAATATAATAATTATAATAATTATAATACAATATAATAATTATAATACAATATAATAATTAAAATAATTATAAAATTTATAATTATAATAATAATTTGATGACAATTATTTTAGTTTCTGAACAATTTTTTAAGAAAGTCCTCACTGCCAGTAGATGAAGTATGAAATCTGCTGATAAAGTTTTATCTCGAAAAGTAGCCATTTATTATGTTATTATTTAAACATAAGAAGTAAAATTAAATATAATAAAATAATAAGAATATTGTAGAAATAAAATTAAAATAAAATAGTTATTTTAAATATAAGACAAACGACGCGCAATTTTATAGGTCTCCAAGATATAAATAAAATAGTTATTTTAAATATAAGACAAACGAGGCAATTTTATAGCTCTCCAAGATATAAATAAAATAGTGATTTTAAATATAAGACAAACGACGCGCAATTTTATAGCTCTCCAAGATATAGATTTCTGCGATCTCCACAAGGGGTGTGTGTTCACCCATAAAGTCATACCGTGGGCAACAACATCTAGGTTTGTGTTACCAGAGTCTCATAATTTTCTGGATTCCCGAGTACCCTAAGCTGAAAGACGTCTGCATTTCTCGAGTCCCCGCGAGCATTCCGCGACGTGGATTTAATTTCTGTGGTCGCGAATGTACGACTTCCCAAGTGTCTGACCGCAGCCATAAACCCCCATCTACGCGAGACGTCGCGAGACGACGCACGAAATACGTCACGACGACGTGTTTTTCCTTTCCGCGAGCGCGACACGGGGCCCGTATATCCGGGACATGTGCGGCCGAAAACGACACGGTGCTTCCTATCCGGGGCCCTGCGTCCGATGATTTACATGACAGACACGCGGTCGAAAGGACACGTGGTTGCCTCCCGTTCGCGGTGTTATTACACGGAGTCTTTACGAGCACTATCGGGTTTCCGAGTCGGCGGATTTTCCAAAGACTTCACGGGAGTTTTTAGTTTCCATCGTCGTCTCGAATATTTGGGTAGTCTCCCACATGCCGCGGGGGACCGTTTCATATTTTATCCACATCCGTAAATGGAGGTTTTACCGGGCGAAAGTACGCTTTCGAAAAACAGACCACGAATTATGTCTCCGCTGTTAGGGGACACTAAGTTACCAGGAGACAGATTTGTATAAAGCATGACGTTTGATGAAACATGAAGCAGGTCTGGAGCTAGAAAAATTCTTCTAATGTTGCTAATTGTATTAACTGTTGTTATGCGTTAAATAAATCACTGAACTTTTTTTGAACACTTCTAGAAATTAAATACAACGCTTTACAACTATTACGATTCTATAATAATAGTTCTATACAAGTTCTGTATAATGTTTGTATATATATATAACGTAATATTTTTATATAATATATAATTTTTGCATAATATATAATTCTTGAATAATATATAATTTTTGTATAATGAATAATTTCTGTATAATATATAATTTTTGTATAACATATAATTTTTGTATAATATATAATTTTTGTATAATGTATAATTTTTGTATAATATATAATTTCTATATATAATATATAATTTTTGTATAATGTATAATTTCTGTATAATATATAATTTTTGTATAATATATAATTTTCGTATAACATATAATTTTCGTATGACATATAATTTTCGTATAACATATAATTTACGTATAATATAAAATTTTTGGTATAAAATATGATTTTTGTGTAACTTTTGTGCGAGAGTCTAGAAAAATGAAATTAACTTGCACAAACGAATGGACAAAGAACGAGCGAAGGAAGCGAGCAGACGCTCGAATAACTTAATTGGCGAGCGTGAATCGGCGGGACCACCGTCGGAAACCTCGAGCGGCCGCGTAATTGCGGCGAGTCAAGGTGATCGTCGCGATACACTAATTACGGGTCCGGTCCCCTGTTCCGAAGCAACTGTTGCGAAGATAAAATCGGAGCGGCGCGGCGCGGCGGGGTGCGACACAAAAGGACCACGTCTTCCCGGCAGCCTCGCGCTTCAAAAGACCTTCCTCGGACTTTCGCGACCACCCCAAGCAACGCCCTTCTTCCTCTTTGCAAGTCGAGCGTGCATCGGCCCACGTCCTTTACTCCCTATTCTTTCCCTTCGATTCTCCCCGCGCGAGAACCTTGTCGCAGCTTGCGCGTGTAAACGCGGTTTTGTTGACAGTAACAATGGGTCGCTGCTCTTCGTGACACATTGCCATCTTTTCGACCATTCGGACACGTGGCCAACGGTGGCAACGAGTCCACATTCCCTACTTTGGAATGCGCGATTTAACCATTGTGTGTACAACCGGGTGTCAAGGTACTCGTTTCTATTTTCTAGTAATTTTTTTCTGATCCTCTCAAATATATCGCTATACCACCCCGGACCCTGATTCTATTTACACTTTTTTTTAGTTCTAAGTACACTTTTATGTCGATCAATGTTTGAAGAAGAATAAGTAAACAAATAACTAAGCTTGAAATATTGACGACAAGTTGGCGATACGCACAAAGAATAATGCTAAATAAATTGCTGAAATTATTAAGATTCTTTCGTAGATAGTGGTTCGATAAATTTCTTGATCCAAGTATAATATATATTACAGTAAAAATGGGGACAGGTCTAAATAAATTCTCTCTTATTATCATCATCGTCATCAGAGCGTGCAGCGATATCAGTTACTTCTGTAGATTTAGCGTTAATCTTTTGTTAATGATGATTTTAAACCCCTAACATTTTTACGCCGTGCGAATCTGAATAAAATTAGGCACATGTAATGGATTGACACAAAAATTCATTTTGCATTGTTGCACTGTTTAGGAAATTGATACATGCGTATTTTGTGAGACAGTGCCGATTGATTAGTCTTGTATTGTTTAATAACTGTTTATAATAATATATAATTATAATAATAAATAATAATAATTAATGATAATAATAAATAAATATATATAATAATTGTTTAACAGACTGAGAATCTATGGAATAAAAATTATCCTGCATTAATTGTGGAGAACAGGAGTTATATAAAAATGTCTTTC